GAGGGTCTGAGCGTGCAGGTAAAGAACCTGGGCAGAGGAAAAAAAAGCTCTGAGTTAAACCTTCAGTGTGGAATGTATCACATAAAGATTCTCGTATGAAACGCAAAGAGGCTCACCTGGCCCTACCCCTGTGGCGAGGGGGAGCTGCTGAACTCTGCACGGGGAGAACATGCAGAAACAAGTGTGCTGAGCCGAGGTGGCTGCACGGAGGGAAACGAAGAGGGAGCGAGGTAGGTCCTGCTGGGAAGGGCGAGGCCCCGGACACGGAGGCCCTGAGAGCAGAAAGGGGAAAGTAGGGAGATGTTCTGGCCCTGGCTGGTTTGGCTCAGTGGACAGAGCGTCGGCCTGGGGACGGAAGGGTCCCAGGTTCGATTCCAGTCAAGGGCACATGCCCGGGGTTCTGTGCAGGAGGTGGCTGGGGGTGTGCAGGAGGCAGCCAATCAATGATTCTCTCTCATCATTGATGTTTCTATCTCTCCCTCTCCTTCTCTGAAATCAATAAAAATATATCAAACACAAAAAGAAATATTCTGGGTGCCCAAGACAGCGCTGCCCTTGCTGGAAACCAGGGAAGACACAGACGAGAGCGGTGATTCGCCCTTGACACCTCCCCCAGCTCCCCGCCCTGCCCTCGCTATTATTATCTATAGTTCCTTACGTTATTCAGCCAAGGCTTCTGAAAGCCCCCAGGAAAAAACTTCCTGTTATGTTTTTTGTCAGAGTTCAAATGCTGGATTTTTCCAACTTAAATCCTTTCTCGGAGAAGGCAGAGCACAAATAAATCAGTAGTTAAGTGTCTTAATAAGGCTGCTCGCTTCTGCCTCTGTGCGTGTCAAATGAGGTCCCCACTTCAGGGCCAACAAAAAGATGATCATCCATCGAGTTCCACCTGATCCGTGCCGGGGCTCAGCCACTCATCTCGAGAAGGGCCGGGAGCACATCAGATGAGGAAGGATTATGGGCTGAGGAGGTGGTGTTTGTTGGGTAATAATCAAAGGCATTATCTGAGTGGACGGGGGCTAAGGGCTGGAAGGAAGGAACTGATGGGAGACTGTGACAGCTGAGTCCCTGCTGGATGCGGGGGTGGGAAAGGGGTGTGTGTGGGGGGGTGGCATTTCCAGGGAAAGCCTAGAACTCTGCAGCACCCACTCGGGAGGGGAGTGGGAGCCTGTGTCTCTGGCAGGGCGTGCACAGCCAAGAGCGAATGCGGAGACAGAGGCACGGGAGACACCAGCACCCACCGGGTTTTAAAGAGCGTTACCAGCAGCTCTCTGTGGGGCACGCTGTGCCCTCCCCACCCCTCCCCCTTTCTCTCTCCTAGGCTGCAAGGGCCCTTCTTCTATCTACAGCTCACTTCTACCTCTGTGACTTTCTAAATAAAAAATATTATTAAAAATAATATTTAAAAATAAAAATAAAAAATATTATAAAGATTACTACAAGATAATTGAGCATTTCAACTTGTGCTTGCTCTCTTCACAGTCTCAGTCACGCCTCGGACCCAAACCGCCTGGGCCTGAACCTTGGCATCATCGCCACCAGCTCTGGGATGTTGGGCAAATCCCTAACCTCTTCCTGTCCCTGACTCTTCAAAATGTCCCCCACATTCTGTGTGTCTACATACATGTATTTTTCTTCTGCTCCATTTGAGAATAAAGTGAAACACAACGCCCTTTGCGCTGTAAGATTTCAGTATGCTTCCAGAGAACAAGGGCCTTCTCTCATATAACCACAGTTCATTGATCAAACCCAGGGATTTCACACTGAAACAGCACTTTGTCTAGTGCACACAGGTAAAATTCTGTCTCAGTAATAACTTTTTAAATCCTCATCCGAGGATATTTTTTCCCATTGATTTCTAGAGAGAGTGGAAGGGAGGGAGGGCGGGAAGAGAGAGAAACACTGAGGGAAGAGAGACTCATCATTTGGTTGCCTCCCACACGTGCCCCAACTGGGGCTGGGAAACCTGCAACAAGGTACGTGCCCTTGACCTGGGATTGAACCCGAGAGCCATCCGTCTGTGGGCCAACGCGCCAACCACTGCGACAAACTGCCCAGGGCTCAGAATAATCTCTCTAGGAAAAGAAGTGCTTTGGCCCAGGATCACCTACTGCGTTTACCCGTCACATGCATGTCTCCTCACAGCGGGCAGCTCCCGGCCTGTCTTTGTCTTTCAAGTACTGACATTTTTGAAGCGACTGGCCAACTGAGCCTTTCTTCTACAGAAAGGATACTAATAGCCCTGCCTGAGAGCGGAGGGAGGGCGGCGGAGCAATGCCGTGCTGACTGGGCCCTGCAACCTCATGGAGTGAGGGGTTAGTCTTGTTACTACTAGGAGTCAACAGCTGTGTGACACAGGCCTCTTGCCCACAACGACAAGGAGACGGAGAGGAGGTCAGGAGGGTCCTGGTGATGGTGGGATGAGGGTGCGGTGGGTACAGGGAGACCTGGCAGAGGGTGCCGGTGGGAGTGAGTGGAGTTACCCAAAGGACGCGGGCTCTCCAGGCACAGGACCAGGGAGCACGCGCCCACGGCGCCCAGGGTTGGCAGTTAGGACATGGTCAGCGGATCAGTGCTGCCAGGTGACTGCTGGGGCGTGGCTAGAAATGGTGACGAAGGAACCGGAAGGAGATGTCACTGCGTACCCGCCCACACCCGGCCCGGACCTGAGACTCAGTGGCATCGTACCTGGCGGTGGGCTCAGCGGGGCTCCAACACTGGCCCCTGCTCTCTGTCTGCCGCACCTGCTCTTCGGATGCCCCGCCTGCCGCCCAGGGGCCGCCCCCGACATGCTCTTAGGAGAGGCGGCCACTGCTGACTTGCCTTCCTCCCGGCGCCTCTCTCCGGGGCTCCTGCCACTGCCTGTGGGTCCACCGAGACAGGTGTCCTCGGCACACCCACGCTCCCACCAGATCCTTGCCCTCGGACACCTTCCCAACACAAGTTCCTCTCCTGCTTCTCTCGCTTCTCTAAGCGTGGGGATGTGCCAGAGGGCTGCTCAGCCACCTCCTCTGCACCCTCAGGGGGTGGGCAGGGCCGCAGGGTCAGAGAGGACAGACCTTACAGAGCACTGCTCCCAGGAGGGCAAAGAGCAGGGGGTCTGAGTGAAAAAACAGTGGCCCTCTGGGCTCCCGTGACCTCTTAAAATCCCTTCAGCAATACAGGCTGTTAGATGTGCCACATAGTGCCTGGAGCCCACTACAATCAGAGCAGGAACCAAACACTTCAAACGCCTGTAAATAATCAATCCCAAAATGAACTTGTCACCCAACTTCCCACCTGGGGTCAGAGGTGTTCCGATGAGGCTGTGGAAGTGCTTCGTGGAGGTGATGAGTTTGCACTTGCCAACGTCTAGCTGAGTTATCACAGCCACGGCCACTTCCGGTTCCGTCACACCCAAGCCAAGCTCAGCAATTAAAGAACAGCCTTGCTTACTACGTAAGAGGCCATCAGCGGAACACTTGTCTAATTCCAGAGGCCCACCCACCTGTGCCCTCCGCTCACCCAGGCTCAGCACAGCACTCCGGGTTAGGGATAGTTTGCTGGATGACACGAACACGCACTTCTGGAAACGTCCTTATGTACAAGCTTTAAACGACCTGATTTTGCATTCACACCTAATGAGACGGCGGGCATCTTGGGCGTAAGAGCACAGCTGCTGAAGAAGGCGAGCAGCACATTAAGAAAAAGTCAGCTCTGCTCCCCAAATGTGAGTAAATAGATGCTCAGCTGACGAGGTGCCCTCCACGGCTCTATTTGGCTGCTCTGCATTTCGCCTGTGCAGCCGCCATCTAATGCGGTAGATTTCTCTTTACCACATTAAACTTTCATACTTAACAAATGCGCCGGCACCGCAGGCATGGACTCTGATTTTCAAAATTGAATTTTGGGTGGTGCGGGCAATTGGTGCAGCGGCCCCTACTCTAGTCATACAAAGGGACTCATAAGCACTTTGGGGAAAGGGTGATGCAAATTGCTTTGCTAGTTAAGACAGAGCTGGATTCAGTCCAGGAGGATCTATGAATAAAAGGTTTCATGACTTGGTAATGAACTGAAATGAGTTCACTCTGTTATGGGAGCCCATTCCCTGTGATTCAGTTGAAAATACATTTCTTGGGCACCTATTATGTACAGTGCTCCGCCAGGAGGCGGTGGGAGGACATGAAGACCCAGCCTCAGCTCTGCAAACACTGAGGAGACAAGACCGGCTCGAATTAAGAAATCAAACATGGCCTGACGGCCTGTAACTGAGTGCTGGGCACAATCAGAACGGGGCGCGGGGCGCCAGGCCTGGCCAATGGGCAGCCGTGGCTGGGGGGCCTCAAGTTCCATGCAGTGACAGTTCAGAGTGAGGGGCAGTGAGTCCGACCTTTGAGGGGTGTGGACGTCAGAGCTAGACCTGGGCCTGGGCGGACGGGTCAGAGGACTGACTGGGAGGAGGAGGCATGAAGAGGCACAGGCTGTTCCGGGCAGGGGGGTCTTGAGCCAGCAGTGCTTCTAGGACCTGGGAAGCCACCAAGTTCTCGGCGAGCCGTGAGT